ACCCCGGGAACAGGGGGCCCCGCCCTCACCCCGGGAACAGGGGGCCCTGCCCTCACTCTGGGAACAGGGGCCCTGCCCTCACCCCGGGAGCCAGGGCCCCACCCTCACCCCAGGAACAGGGGGCCCCGCCCTCACCCCGGGAACGGGGGCCCTGCCCTCACCCCGGGAGCCGGGGCCCCGCCCTCACTCCGGGAACGGGGGCCCCGCCCTCGCCCCGGGAACGGGGGCCCCGCCCTCGCTCCGGGAACGGGGGTCCTGCCCTCACTCTGGGAACGGGAGTCCCCTCCCTTACACTGGGAGCTGAGGCCCTATCCTTTAATCTAGGGTTACATTAAATACTTTGTTGTTCAATTAAATGTGGGAAAATGATTAAATCAAACCTGATTTGATTCTGTCACAAAAAATCAGGTCACGAGACAAATAATCCAATCTTTTATGAATAAGTGCGTCAAAGAGGTTTGTTTCACACAACAATATTCAGTGACAGTGGTTCAGGAGAGTAACAGAACATGCCACATGATCTGACTTCGTCCAGTTCCTGATCATCATTTCCTCCTCAAACGGATCCCTGTCTTGGGAATTTTTTTAGTGGACGGAACAGACTTTCCTGCTTCAGTTTTGATCTTTTCTTGTATTGAGGGCGGTTGTTGCTAAGGTCAGGTAGGGTTGTTAAGGTGAGATAATGTCAACCAGATGGCGCTTCTTCATAAGTGGGTGAGTAAAACCAGCTGTTTGCCAAAATGAGGCATCTCAAAGCAGGCCTGATAAAGACCTTCTCAAAACTGATGGAGGGTGTGCAATGCAGTTGCTTGTAACATTCCAACAGAGACTAGGCCCCTCCCTAAAGTCATAGAGACATACAGCACGGAAACAGACCATTCAGTCCGACCAGTCCATGCCGACTACAATCCCAAACTATAGTCCCACCTGCCTGCGTTTGGCCCATATTCCTCCAAACCGTTCCTATTCATGTACTTATCGTATATCCTTTAACATTGTAAATGTACCCACATCCACTACTTCCTCTGGAACTTCATTCCACACACGAACCACTCTCTGTGTAAAAAAGTTGCTCCTCATGTCTTTTTAAAATCTTTCTCCTCGCACCTTAAAAATATGCCCCCTGTCTTGAACTCCCCCATCCTAGGGAAAAGACCCTTGCTATTTACCATGATTTAATAAACCTCTGTAAGGTCAGCCCTCAACCTCCCACGCTCCAGTGAAAGAAGTCCCAGATTATCAAGTCAATTTTTATAACTCAAAAACCCCCCATTCCTGGCAACATCCTGGCAAATCTCTTCTGAACCCTCTCCCATAATAACATGACCAGAACTGGACACAGTACTCCAGAAGTGGCCTCACCAATGTCCTGTACAACCTCAACATGACGTCCCAACTCCTATACTCAAGAGGTCTGAGCAATGATGGCAAACGCTTTAAACACGTTCTTAACCACCCTGTGGTGCAAATTTCAAAGAATTATGTACCTGAACCCCTAGGTCGGTCTCTGTTCTACAACACTAACCAGGTCCCTACCATTAACTGTATAAGTCCTGCCCTTGTTTGTTTGACTAAAATGCAATACCTGGCATTTATCCAAATTAAACTCCATCTGCCACTCCTCAGCCCATTGACCCAATTGATCAAGATCTCTTTGTAATCTCAGATAACCTTCTTCACTGTCCACTGTACAAAGATCAAGGGTTGGCCCCAGCGACACATCCCTCAATATCACGGGGCTTAGATAATGTTACGTAGACACAGGAGAAAGACCAGTCAGCCCCTTGAGCTGGTTTTGTCATTCCAATAGCTGATGGCTAGACTTCCTATCCCTGGGTGCCTTCACTCAGTTAAAATACACACTTGTCTTGCAACACGCCTGCATGCTCACCTCCGATCTCCACAACGACCTCCATTCAGCAGAAGAGAGGTGCCCACTGGACAAACAGACATGTAACTCCCTCCCGCGCCCTCCCCCATTGTTCTGGTGAATCTGACACGTGCCTCCCCACACACAAAGATCTCAACCAACCATTAGAAAAAGTCTTGGGGAGGAAGGCACAGTGGAAGATGCTAGAAGACTGGAACAAGAACAGAAAGTGCTGAAGAAACTCAGCAAGGTCTGGCAGGGTGTGTGGAGAGAAAAACAGAGTTAACATTTCGAGACTGGGATTGCTCATTCAGCAGCTTTAATCGGCAGGTAAACACATAGGATGTCAGAACCACCCAGCTGGTTAAGGCTGACGCCTGTTGATATGGGCATTGCTGGACATCATTGTCCATCTATTATGGTTTCAGTGAGCTGCCGTCTTGAACCGCTGCAGTCTGTGCGCTGTAGGGATACCCACAACGCTATACGGTGTGGACTTCCAGGATTTTGATCCAGCAACACTGAAGGAGCGCCAATATATTTCCAAATCAGGACAGTGAGCGGTGTGGAGGAGATTTTGAGTGGTGTTCCCACACTGCCCTTGTCCTTCTGGATGAGAGGTCACGAGTTCGGAAGATGCTGTCGGAGGAATCTCAGTATTGCGTCTTGTGCATTGCCTGGAGATTACAACCACAAAACCCGAGCACAGCACCATGAGACTGAGTGGGAAGAACATTGAGGGAAACAGCGGTTTTGCCTTGAAAGGAGTTGACCTTTGAGAGACAGAGAGCCAACAGGAGAGATTCACCCATTAATTGTGTTCAATTAAGTTCGGTCACCATGACCTCGTTTCAAACAAGATTTGAGGACTTTCAATTCTTCACAGAGAGGGGTCAATTCTGAATTACACCTTAAAATTAGTGTGGGTGGGAGCGGGCAGAAATGTTAGCCACTTTGTTGCCATGGCAACTCTAATGAAGATGTTCTGCCATTTTGAAAGGGGCCTATCGCTGGGGCCTGTTTTGGGCAGTAGGCCCCTTTTAATATGTAGATTCTTTTGTATTAATTCATGGGATGAGGGTGTCACTAGTCAGGCTAACGTTTATTGCTCATCCCTAATTGCCCAGGGGGCAGTTAAGAGTTAACCACGTTGCTGTGGGTCTGGAGTCATGTGTAAGCCAGACCAGCTAAGGATGGCGGTTTCCTTCCCTAAAGGATATGAGTGAACCAGACGAGTTTCTCCAACAATCAATAATGGATCCATGGTCATCATTAGACTCTCAATTCCAGATATTTTAATTGAATTCAAATTCCACTGTCTGCCATGGCAGGACATCAGCTGACTCTCTGGATTATATAATAGTCCCTTGGCTTTGCAATGCTTCCTTTTCTCCTTTCCCTGCTTGCAGCCTGTGTAGGGGATTGGGGTTTGTTGGATGTGGACTCATGCTAAGGTTGTTGGCATTTCAAGATGGCGGCTGCCCAGTTGCCATGGTTACCTTGCTGTTCAGTTGGCCACTCAGAGCATTGGAGGGGAAGAGGTCCAGGAATCGCTGGAGGGACAGTTGTACCTCATGACGGCTGGGGCTTTGCGAGTGAGTGAACGTGGGGAGAGGAGGGAAGGGGAGCGGATTTTCGGTGGACAATGAGGTTTCATTTACCCTGCTCTCACGGATGTCTGGATGCCTGAAGAAGTGTTGCAGTCTGACGAGGTGAGGTCAGCGAGGGTCAATTTTCATCTCAGCCATTGACATCGGGAGCAATTGCCCGGTCTGGCAGCGTATCAGGAGCGTCGCTCAGGAGCAGGTGAAGTCTGTGTGAGATACCGAGCAGGGTAGAATTGAGGGCCTCCACAGCCTGGGTCAGGTGACTCAAGGCCTGGGCCTGCTCCTCCAACTGTCGCTGATTGGCTCGCAGCAGCCTTTCCAGATGGCCGCAGGAGGGGGCCAAAGCATGCTGGGAAGGACGCTGCTCTGACCCCAGCTTGAAGACGATCGCTTGTTCTTCAGACTCTGCAGGAGGGAACAGGATCCAGTTCAGTGCATTGTGGTCAAGTCCAAACTCAACTTTGTGTTTTCTTTTTCAGTTTAATTTTGGGTTTTGGCACCTCACCTGAAACGAAGAGAAGCCAATCGAGGCCCCCATGAGCCTCACCTCACCCCTTGTTCATCTCACCTGTCACCATATCCTTCAATTCCTCCTCCCATGTGTGATTAGCCAGGTTTCCTTCACCTCGGCCCCTCCCTGCAGGAGCGAGTCCCCCGTTGTTATAGAGTCATACAGCACAGAAACAGACCCTTTGGTCTAACTTGTCCATCCTGACCAGATAACCTAAATTAATCTAGTCCCATTTGCCAGCATTTGGCCCATTTCCCTCTGAACCCTTCCTATTTATGTCCCCATCCAGATGTCTTTTCAATGTCACATTTGTACCAGCCTCCACCACTTCCTCTGGCAGCTCATTCCACACACACACCACCCTCTGTGTGGGAAAGTTGCCTTTTAGGTCCTTTTTAAATCTTCCCCTCTCACATTAAACTAATGCCCTCTAGTTTTGGACCCCCCCACTCTGGAGTAAACGACCTTGGGGCTATTTACCCTCTTCATGCACCTCATGATTTTATAAACCTCTATAAGGTCACCCCTCAGCCTCCGATGCTCCAGGGAAAATAGCCCCAGCCTATTCAGCCTCTCCCTATAGCTCAAACCCTCCAAGCTCAGAAACACCCTTGTAAACCTTTTCTGAACCCTTTCAAGTTTATCTTTCCTATAGCAGGGAGACCAGAACTGAACATAGTATTCCAAAAGTGGCCTCACCAATGTCCTGTACAATTGCAACACGACCTCCCAACTCCTATACTCAATGCACTGACCAATAAAGGCAAGTATACTGAACTCATTCTTCACCGCCCTGTCTACCTGCAACTCCAATTTCAAGGAACTATGAAGCTGGACCCCAAGGTCTCTTTGTTTTGCAACACTCCCAAGGACCCTACCATTAAGTGTAGAAGACCTGGCCTGATTTGCCTTACCAAAATGCAGCACCTCACATTAATTTAAATTAAACTCTGTCTACCACTCCTTGGTCCATTGGCCCATCTGATCAAGGTCCCATTGTACTCTGAGATAACCTTCTTTGCTGTCTACTAGACCTCCAATTTTGATGCCATCTGCAAACTTACTAACCATTCCTCCTGTATTAACATCCAAATCCCAGGTGAAGAGGTTTATGCCAAATTCCTGAATGGATGTATCAGGGACCGTCAGATGTGGATAGCCCCCTGGATTTGGTTTTTGAACCCCCTCCTCCCCATATCCCCCAAGTCCACCATAAATTCCAACACCACCTCTCTTCCTTTACCTTAGTAAAAACTTCCATAATCTTAAAGAACTCTATCAGTGCCTGTTATAAAGAGATGGTTACAGTGCACGCATCAAGAGCAGACAGACGGGAAAGGAGAGCAGAGAAGATGGAAAAGTGATTGATGGTGAGTTTGATCGCTGGTTGTAGGAGAGGTTAGGGAGGCACCCACCATTCATGGGAAGGCATTTGGATTGGAAAATGGAGTAAACGATCTCAGTCTTTTTTCTTCGTTCATAGGACATGGGCATCACCGGCTGGGCCCGTCCCCAGTTGCCCCCTTGAGAATGTGATGAACTGCCTTCTTGATCTGCTGCACTCCATGCAGGGTAGCAACACCCATACTATGCCCTTAAGGAGGGAGTTTCAGGATTTTGACCCAGCGACCCTGAAGGAACGGCGATATATTTCCAAGTCAGGATGGTGAGTGATTTGGAGGGCAGTTTGCGGGTAGAGGTGTTCCCATGTGTCTGCTGCCCATGACCTTCCGGAGGGTAGAGGTCACAGGTTTGGAAGGTGCTGCCGGAGGATCTTTGGTGAATTTCTGCAGTGCATCTTGTAGATAGTACACACTGCTGTTACTGAGCGTCGGTGGGTGGAGGGAGTGGGATGTTTGTGGATGTGGTGCCAATCAAGCGGGGGTTGCTTTGTCCTGGATGGTGTTGAGCTTCTTGAGTGTTGTTGGAGCTGCCCCCATCCAGGCAAGCGGGGAGTATTCCATCACACTCCTGACTTGTGCCTTGTCGATGGTGGGACAGGGTTTAGGGAGTCAGGAGGTGAGTTACTCACTGCACCTCTGACCTGCTCTCGTATGGATATGGATGGTCTAGTTCAGAGCCTGGTCATGGGGTGGGCCATGGGATTAAGGTGTTGTCCATGTTGGCCTTGAGAAGGTGTTGATGTGTCACTTGGATACAGCTAAGGTGCTCACTGAGCCATTTCACAGGATGGTTAAGTCAACCCACCATGCTGTGGGTCTGGAGTCACATGTAGACCAGGCCTGGCAGATTGCCGACCTTAAAGGATATCAGGACAATCGAGTAGTTTTAAAGTTACTGTTACTGATAGGTGCTATTTATTTCAGGTTTGTTAAACTCATAAAATTTAAATCTCAGCCCAGCTGCTGTGATGGGATTTGAACTCACGTTTGCTGGAACATTATTCTAGGCCTCTGAATTCCAAGCGCAGTAACATAACCTCAGCCTCTCTGCCATTAACCGAACAATGAAAGCTTGAGGGCAAGCATGGGCAGTTGATAAATAGGCAGATGGAGCCTTTTTGGGATTTGCAAATGCCCCACTCCTCACCCTCACAGGAAAAAAAACTCACAAACAGGTACAGCTCAGAGTGAGCCCTGAGCCTACACAGGCTGGAGTCTGGAAGAGGGAGAGGTGGGTGGCACAGTGGCTTGGTGATTAGCACTGCTGCCTCACAGCGCCAGGGACCCAGGTTCGACTCCACCCTCTGGCAACTGTCTGTGTGGAGTTTGCACATTCTCCCCATGTCTGCGTGGGCTTACTCCAGGTGCTCCAATTTCCTCCAACAGTCCAAAGATATGTAGATCAGGGTGGATTGGCTTTGGTAAATTGTCCTGTAGTGTCCAGGAATGTGCAGGCTAGATGGGTTAGCCATGGGAAATGCAGGGTTAGGGTAGGGGGAGGTGGGTCTGGATGCAATGCTTTTCAGAGGGTCAGTGCAGTCTCAATAGGCCAAGCAGCCTCTATCTACACTGTAGGGATTCTGTGATTTCATTGAAACTAACAAATTTCTGACAGGGACATCAACAGGGGTTCAGTGCAGAGGAGGAGTTCTCCCCTGGGTGGGGGACTGGAACTAGAGGCCCCAGACTCAGAATTAGGGACAGGCCATGTCTTTAAACTTTGTTCCTTTAATTTTCTAGTTAATATTCAGAAGGACTTTAAGGTTAACTGTTACCTTATTTCTTTATTTTTCTACGTATTCTATGAAGGTAATGCTTAACTTTTTTTAACCTGGGGTTTCTCTCTTTCAGCATTTTGTACCTGAGCTTTTTGTCCATAGTTACTTTTGTACCTAACATGGTGCTGTGCGTGGCAACATTAGACCCTTTTCATTCCACTCCTGTATGTGACTACACATGACAATAAAATCTAAATCTAAACCTAAATCTGAATCTGAATCTGAATCTAAGTCTGAATCTAAATCTAAATCTTGTCGCTGAGATGAGCAGGAATTTCTTCAGTGAGTGGGAATTGTCTCCCCCAGAGGTCTGTAGAGACTTGGTCATTGAGTATATTGGGACATGGTGCTCAGTTACGAGTAGTGTACCACAAGGATCTGTTCTAGGTCCTCTTCTATTTGTGATTTTTGTAAATGATTTGGATGAAGGAGTGGAAGGGTGGATTAGTAAGTTCGCGGACAATACGAAGGTGGGTCATGTTGTGGACAGTGCGGAGGGCTGTTCTAGGTTACAAAGGGACATTGATAGGATGCAGAGCTGGGCTGAGGAGTGGCAGATGGAGTTTAACCCTGAAAAGTGTGAGGTGATTCATTTTGAAAGGACAAACTTGAAAGCAGAATACAGGGTTAATGGAAAGATTCTTGGCAGTGTGGAGGAGCAGAGGGATCTTGGGGTTCATGTGCACAGTTCCCTGAAAGCTGCCACCCAGGTGGATAGAGTTGTTAAGAAGTCGTATGATGTATTAGCTTTCATTAATAGAGGGATTGAGTTCAAGAACTGTGAAGTTATGCTCCAGCTTTACAAAAGCCTGGTTCGGCCACATCTGGAGTATTGTGTCCAGTTCTGGTCACCTCATTACAGGAAAGATGTGGAAGAGTTGGAAAAGGTGCAGAGGAAATTTACCAGGATGTTGCCTGGAATGGAGGGAAGGTCTTAAGAGGAAAGGTTGAGAGAGCTAGGGCTTTTCTCTTTAGAACGACGAAGGATGAGAGGTGACTTGATAGAGGTGTACAAAATGATCAGAGGTATAGATAGAGTGGACAGCCAGACACTTTTTCCTAGGATGGAGGTAGCTTTTACGAGGGGACATAGTTTTAAAGTGAAAGGAGGTAGATATCGGGGAGACATCAGAGGTAGGTTCTTTACTCAGAGAGTGGTAGGGGCGTGGAATGCATTGCCGGAGAGGGTAGTGCAGTCGGCCTCATTAGGGGCATTTAAGCGGCTATTAGATAGGCATATGGATGATAGTATAAGGTAGGGGTGGAGGTTAGATAGACCTTAGGTTTTGGGTAAAAGTTTGGCACAACATCGTGGGCCAAAGGGCCTGTACTGTGCTGTACTGTTCTATGTTCTATGTTCGATGAGTCAGAGATCGATAGAGTTCTAGATATTAAGAGATACGGGGAAGGGATGGAATATGGTATGAAATGGTTAATCAGTTAAATGGCCTCCCCCACCTCCTCCTTCCCATGATACTAAACTGTCCATGTTTCCTTCGAGCTGCTGGGGCTATTGAGTAGGCCCCAGGCTTCTGGTAATAGCCTTCCAATGACTGTCCCCAAAAGTGATCCTTGACCCCTTGACGTTTGCCATCCTTTCCTGCATTTGGGAACACAGTGTTCTCCCTTGTGGACCCCGTCCCCAAACCCAAGCAATTTCCAGACCCAAAACCATCATCGACGAAATCGATCAGGAGAGTGGAGTTTGCACATTCTCCCCGTGTCTGCGTGGGTTTCCTCTGGGTGCTCCGGTTTCCTCCCACAGTCCAAAGATGTGCAATCTAGGTGGATTAGCCGTGCTAAATTGCCAGTAGGGATGTGTGGACTAGGGGGATGAGTCTGGTTGGGATGCTCTGAGGTTCGCTGTGGACTTGTTGGGCCAAAGGGCCTGTTTCCATACTATAGGGATTCTATTAAAAAAAATGGTTTTGACACCACAATTTTACTCTTTTGTAGCATCCTTGATAAGAATGGAGAATTAGGAGCAGGAGTAGGCCATTCAACCCCTCGACAGCCAGATCCCTCTGCACTGATGCACTCTGATGTGTCTCTCCATTTAGACAATACATTGGCTGACTATCCTCTGCCAAATGCCATGTGAGAGATCACAAGGTCAAGGTTTGACAACCGAACCCCAGGTTAGGGTTGGGCAGGTCAAAGGGGTTGATATGAAGGAGAGTCCGAAAGAAAGACACAGAGAGAGAGAGATGGAGAGGTTTAGGGAGGGAATTCCAGTGCTTGAGGCCAAGTCTCAGCGAAGGAGTGGTACAAACAGGCCATTCAACCCGTGTACCCAAATCCTACCCCACCTCCATTGGATCGAACTCTCACCCCTGGGGCTTTCACGATCATTCTCAAAGCCGTGATGGGAGGCTCCCGGTTGATCAGCTGATCCTGTTACCTGTGCAAGCGGTGAGCTCCTCGTTGCTGCGGTAACCGGGCCTGCACCCACAGCCGCCGATGGGCACCACCCAGTCTCCCTCGCTGGCGCAGTGCAGCTTCACAGGAACGGAGGTCTCCACGGCATTGGCCACGCACGTGCCTGGGGTCACGGCCAGTGAGCTGAGACCGGGCCCCGCCGCGGTCTCGGGGAAGCGGGCCAAGTTGGCGATGGTTGCCGGGCACTTCCGGAAGGAGGCCCGCACGGACAGGAGGTTGATGCAGGCTCCCCGGTCCCAGAACGCCAAGTGGAAGCCGGCCCTGGTGAGGGGCCCAATGGGCACGGTCACCCTGTTCACCTTGCCCATCCTGTTGAGGGCAAAGACATGCTCAGCGGTGATGTCCCGGGCCTTGGCGTAGGTGGCCTTCAGGTGGGCAGCTGTGCTGGCTGAGGGCACACCGTCAGAGTCCACCTCACCATAGTAGAGGGCGAAGGTCTCCCGGCAAGATCCATCGGTGCTGGGGATGGAACTGCAGTCCCTGACGGTAAACCGCAGATCAACGTAAACCATCTGGGCATCCCTGCGGGCAATGTAGGCGCTCCGTAACCAATTGTCCTGGTTGGGCCTGTCCACGTTGCAGACTCGATAAGTTCTCATCGTGTTGAACAGTTTGTCCACAGCCACTGTCTCTTCCCACTGCCGTGGGAGGGGGAGAGGGATGGAGGGAGTATGAGAGAGAGGGGGGAAGGGAGGGAGGGATTGAGGGAGGGGGTGAAAGGGAGTGTGAGAGATATAGGGAGGGAGGGAGTGAGAGAGAGATATAGGGAGGGAGGGAGTGGGGGAGAGAGGGG